TAACAATCACGATACTAATTTAGTTAGATAATCAATTACACCAAAAGGGTAAGATTATAAAATTAAATTCGTTACAACGTACGTTGTTACGATCCAGGGAGAGCTTTAATAAACTTGAGCCAATTTAGCTTAGACCATGAACAAATTAATATATCAGTTTAAATTAGATTATCTCTTAAATTAGCGTGATATAATAAATTTCGGGTTCGAAAAGCTAATAAACCTTAGGCACGCGTATATGTCGATAATTACGTATAGGTTTCAGATAAGTAATAAGAAAAGAATTTTTGACGACACTTTTATTATTGGGCAAAGGGATTCTCTTTATTAACGTTTCTCTTTAATGCATTTGTTACAGGGAAGGGGGGTATTTAGTACATATTTGCTTACAAACAGACCTGAATGTATCGAACGTTCACTAACTTCCTTAAGTTGAAATTCAACTCCTTTTTTTATACAAACTTTTGATCATGCTTTAAACCCTTACTAATAACCTTCGATTCCTGCCTAAGAGTCATAAACCCTTATCGTTGATTCTTTATCGCTTACTAACGGTCCTTAACTCTTTCTTATTGAGGGTTAAATCCCTTTACAATGAGCCACATCATTCTTCTAAGTATCTACTCAAATAGGAAGCTTCGTAAAATAAAATATATCCGTACTAACCATATTAAGATAATAATAAAAGAAAACGAAAGAAAAAAAATAAAAATAAATTAAAATTAGACGTAACGTACGTACGTACGTATGTACGTACATACGTAGTGGTCGTATTTATGAAGCAGTGTACGCATGCATGCATATTTGATACGTATTACTACAGTTATGTATTTTGTTTGACAAAGAACGTTAGCATTAGAATCGACGAAAAAGTTGACAAATAAGATTAATGTAATAAAAGTCAATAAATATCCTTTCTCAGGTATAAACCTGCTTTTACACTTGGTTAAATCTTGTTATATATAAAAGCCATATGAAATTGATCTCGAATTCTTTTATACATAAATTATTATAAAAAAAAAAAAAGATGGGATTCGCAAATTCTAAATTAAAAAATGCTATATTAAAAAACAATAAGTTCACCAGAACGAAAAGCATTTTTAATAGCAATAAAAAATCTATTACCCCTCCAGAAGCAGAAGAATATGATTCCGATGATTCCATTGATCGTCTATCGGTTTCCGATTTTATGAATAACGATGAACATGGACATGGAGCATGCAAGATAGAACCAGGACGTGAAGAATATGGGACTTGTACAATTTGTAATAGATATAATTCTAATTATGACTGGTGTCAAATTTGTGAAACAGAAAAGTTAATAAATGGATGGACAAGTGGAGATAAAATTATCGATGAATTTATAAAAAGAACTCAGAAGAAAGCAAAATATTATACCGATTCATTTCTTGAATGGATTCCTTTTGAAAGTTTAGCGTATGTTCAAAAAAATGATCAAGATGAATCAAATCAAGTTTTTTCGGCAGTTTGGCTTGATGGTGAAAGAGAATATAGAAAATTCTTTTATCCATGGACAAAGGGACGTTCACCACCAATAAATGTTATGCTTAAAGCTTTACCAAACTCTGCAGATAAAGTAAGAGATCTTTTAAATGAGGTAAAAATTATTCAAAAATATATATATATATATATTTTTTGATGTATTAGACATATTGGGCTGATTACTAACCAACCAACCAACATGAAGAGTTAGTTAGTAATTACCCAAGAAAGTGAAAGAACAAACGGAAGATATTAGTAATCACCCAAGAAAGTGAAGAATATCAAGTCAATAAAGAAAAGAAAATTATATAAATAACATTTTTCCGTTGTCTTTGAGTGGATAGGTCAAATAACATTTAGCATCTAAATTGAGTGCTGCGAGGAAAGCCCGTAAGTTACAGTATGAGTTTAAATTTTTAACTATACAGAATTTGAACTCAAAAAATTTGTTATCATTGATTGCTGCATAGTGAAAATTTGAATTCGTACTTACAGGTTTTCCCTTGGATGATATTCTTAGTGATTTATATACCTTAATTTTAATAATTATTATACGACAGGAGAAACCCGTGCTGTGCATTAGTAAAATCCTCACATGGGGTGAAATTCATTTTTGCATAATAAAAAACATAGCTAAACGCGGATTTCACCCTAACGTGATCTGCGTAGCTGATTTTACAAATTTACAACGCGGGTTTCAGTCAGTCCTATTATTATTTAATACCGGCAATTTCGCAACATTACATAAATGATTGGATCAAAATTTTATGAATTAATACCATTAGAATCGAAAAAATTCGCCCATACGTAATGTTATTTTTGTAATTGTTGGCTTGTATTTTTACTTGTTTTAATAAGACTTTACTTTTCAGCGTGTTATCTGTTAGTTCCCTGCAATAAATTTTTATTCTTAAATACAGTATTTAATTATTATTTTTATTTTGTCTTTTAAAAAAAATATTACCGTAGTGCGCTAAAATATGCTTATATAAAGAAATGTACCAATGCATTAAAAAAAGATTATAAAAGACAACTAAACTTCAGGCTTTGACCTTATAATTAAATTAACTTAGCCAAGCTTGAAATATTGTTTTCTTTTAGAAGCGCCTGTCTATGTATTAATATTGC